TGCACGTGTCTGTAGAGTATGTTGATGTAGAGTTGTGCACGTGTCTGTAGAGTATGTTGATCTAGAGTTGTGCACGTGTCTGTAGAGTATGTTGATGTAGAGTTGTGCACGTGCCTGTGGCCTATGTTGACCTTGAGTTGTGCACGTGTCTGTAGCGTATGTTGAATTAGAGTTGTGCACGTGTCTGTGGCGTATGTTGATCTAGAGTTGTGCACGTGTCTGTAGAGTATGTTGATATAGAGTTGTGCACGTGTCTGTAGAGTATGTTGATCTAGAGTTGTGCACGTGTCTGTAGAGTATGTTGATGTAGAGTTGTGCACGTGTCTGTAGAGAATGTTGATATAGAGTTGTGCACGTGTCTGTAGAGTATGTTGATGTAGAGTTGTGCACGTGTCTGTAGAGTATGTTGATGTAGAGTTGTGCACGTGTCTGTAGAGTATGTTGATGTAGAGTTGTGCACGTGTCTGTAGAGTATGTTGATGTAGAGTTGTGCACGTGTCTGTAGAGTATGTTGATGTAGACTTGTGCACGTGCCTGTGGCCTATGTTGACGAGTTGTGCACGTGTCTGTAGCGTATGTTGATATAGAGTTGTGCACGTGTCTGTGGGGTATGTTGATCTAGAGTTGAGCACGTGTCTGTAGAGTTTGTTGATCTAGAGTTGTGCACGTGTCTGTAGAGTATGTTGATCTAGAGTTGTGCACGTGTCTGTAGAGTATGTTGATCTAGAGTTGTGCACGTGTCTGTAGAGTATGTTGATGTAGAGTTGTGCACGTGTCTGTAGAGTTTGTTGATCTAGAGTTGTGCACGTGTCTGTTGCGTATGTTGATCTAGAGTTGTGCACGTGTCTGTAGAGTTTGTTGATCTAGAGTTGTGCACGTGTCTGTTGCGTATGTTGATCTAGAGTTGAGCACGTGTCTGTAGAGTTTGTTGATCTAGAGTTGTGCACGTGTCTGTAGCGTATGTTGATCTAGAGTTGAGCACGTATCTGTAGAGTTTGTTGATCTAGAGTTGTGCACGTGTCTGTAGCGTATGTTGATCTAGAGTTGTGCACGTGTCTGTAGAGTTTGTTGATCTAGAGTTGTGCACGTGTCTGTAGCGTTTGTTGATCTAGAGTTGTGCACGTGTCTGTAGCGTATGTTGATCTAGAGTTGTGCACGTGTCTGTAGCGTATGTCGATCTAGAGTTCTGCACGTGTCTGTAGAGTTTGTTGATCTAGAGTTGTGCACGTGTCTGTAGAGTTTGTTGATCTAGAGTTGAGCACGTGTCTGTAGCGTTTGTTGATCTAGAGTTGTGCACGTGTCTGTAGCGTATGTTGATCTAGAGTTGAGCACGTGTCTGTAGAGTTTGTTGATCTAGAGTTGTGCACGTGTCTGTAGCGTATGTTGATCTAGAGTTGAGCACGTGTCTGTAGAGTATGTTGATCTAGAGTTGAGCACGTGTCTGTAGAGTATGTTGATCTAGAGTTGTGCACGTGTCTGTAGAGTATGTTGATGTAGAGTTGTGCACGTGTCTGTAGCGTATGTTGATCTAGAGTTGTGCACGTGTCTGTAGAGTATGTTGATGTAGAGTTGTGCACGTGTCTGTAGAGTATGTTGATCTAGAGTTGAGCACGTGACTGTAGATCTCTAGAGTATGTTGATGTAGAGTTGTGCACGTGTCTGTAGAGTTTGTTGATCTAGAGTTGTGCACGACTTTTGACCTGTGAACGGAGTCATCAGAGACTCGAACTGCAGCGCTGTCGCGTTGAATAAACTTCCTCTGTCAGATGAGTTGAGTTGAGTTTGGTTTTGCGTCACATCGGCATTATTCCAGCCATATAGTGACGAGAACAAGTTTGCATTAATAAACATTGTAAGTACATACTCGGAATGAGTTTTATTTCAAAAAACATATATTCATTACATTGTCATTTAAAAGCAGAAAAAGTAATAGCATCAAATTTAAAGGCAGGCAATTTGTTAGTCACATTTCACAGTTACAATTTATGATAGTTACATTTCACAGTTACAATTTATGATACAGATCAACTTCCCTCAGGTAGTTCACTATCAGATGAGCGCTCACGCGGGAGAACAGATCTTTTAGGTTTGTTGCATCATAATGTGAGTCCCTTGCAGACGATAAGTCCACGCATTCAAGCAGAATATGTTTGATGGTGAAAACCTCATCGCAAGAGACACACATGGGGGGTCCATCCCCATCCGTTTTCAGCAGATAGTCATGAGTAAATCGACTGTGGCCAATACGACATCGTCGTAAAATTACCTCATCACGTCTTGACTGACAACCCAAGTAGGTATAACCAATTGTTGGTTTCAATTCATACAGTTTATTTCTTCCTACTTGAGTGTCCCATCGTTTTTGCATGAGGTCCCGAGTATAGCTTTTGATAGTGGGTTTGAAATCACTGTACGGGATCAGCAGTGGAGATAAGGGCTTGTCAAGAGCTGCTTTTGCTGCAGCATCGGCTTTTGTGTTACCTGCTATGCCGACGTGACCCGGCAACCAGCAGAGGACGATGTCACATTGGCCAGTAGAGAGGTCGTTGTAAAGTTCCAAAATGTCCAGAATGATTGGGTGACTTGAAGTAACATTTTGAAGTGCTTGAAGGCAAGATAATGAATCTGTGAAAACGATGAAGTTTTTGGAATGATTCTGCTGTTTAATATAGGTCAAAGCTGAAAAGATAGCTTTGGCCTCGGCAGTGAAAATGGAACTGTTGTCGGGAATCCTAGAGGAGACAGTCTTAGATCCAATGACTGTAGCACTGGCGACTTGGCCCTCATCCTTGGATCCGTCTGTGAAAATGGATCTATGGGTGTCATACTTGGAACGTAACTGGATGTATTCCTGCTGGAACATCAAGGGATTTGTTTCAGACTTTTTTGAATTTAGTGAGGGTAAGATCGACCTGTGGTTTCACCATCTGCCAGGGTGGTGAAGACAGGAGTCGGTAAGGTGCTATGCTATTGAGATTAATTTTAGCTGCAGATATGTGTGGTTGAATTCTGATTCCAAGTGGTGGAACCAGGCTTGGCAGTTTAGGAAACAAGTGTTCATAGAGAGGGTTGAAAACACAATTGTATGCTGGATTGGACTGATTTGAACGTAGTTTAGTGATGTACTGCAGTGAAAGTTTAATGCGGCGTTGTTCAAGGAAAGGTTCGTTAGCCTCTGCATATAGACTGTCTACCGGAGAGGTCCTAAAAGCTCCCAGGCAGAGCCTCAGGCCTTGGTGGTGGATAGAATCTAGTTTTTCTAAATTGCTTTTGCAGGCTCCACCATAAACAATGGAGCCGTAGTCTAGTTTAGAGCGAACCAAAGATTTGTACAAGTGAAGGAGGGTAATCTGATCCCATCCCCACTCTGTATTTGAAACGACTTTGAGTAAGTCCAGAGCCTTCAAGCACTTGGTTTTCAAATATTTTATGTGTGGCAAGAATGTCAGGTGGCGGTCGAATATGAGTCCAAGGAATTTGGCCTCTTCTACTACATTGATGGGAGTACCATCTAAAGATAGGTCTGGATCCTTGTGTGGTCTGTATTTACAACAAAAGTGAATACAATTTGTTTTGGATTTTGAAAACTTAAAGCCATTTTCATTGGCCCATTTTTGGATTTTGTTAAGGCAGAGTTGTAGCTGCCTTTCTATTGCGTGTATGTTCTTACCACGACATGAAATATTGAAATCGTCCACGAAAAGGGACCCATCAACACAACTGTTCAGGACGTTAGTGAGGCTGTTAATTTTGATGCTAAAAAGGGTGACAGACAGGATGCTGCCTTGAGGGACGCCCTGATCTTGGTGGAAATAATCAGACAATGTGGAACCTACCCGTACTTGAAATTGTCTGTTGTTTAAAAACTGAGATATGAATTGAGGTAATCTGCCCCTCAATCCAAATTCATGTAAATCTTTTAAGATACCATGTTTCCACGTTGTATCGTATGCTTTTTCTAAAGCGAAGAAGATAGATACAGCTGTCAGATGATAATGGAAGGTGACGCTGAAGAATTTCGGCGATTTTCTGTCAGATTTCTCTGACCCACCACCAAGTCAGATCTGTACATGTGTGTGGAGGATATGGATTTCCATCACACTTTGGCCATCAAACTGTCGACTTGTCGAACGCAGTATTGTGCAAAATGTTTATCAAAGTCTGAAGAGACGTTGTCCTCTATCTTCACGTAGAAGAAGAAATCGTGATTAGTCTAATTCCTACTTCGCGCAAAAAAGTTAACCACAACCTGAGATAATACTTAAATTAAATAATAATGAAATAACAGACGTGGCGTCAAAACTCATAGTGACATGCACGTGCAACATGTGCCAGTTAATCTGCAAAACACAGAACGTTTTCCAGCAGTATCACCTCAGCCATCGTTAAAACCATCATCACTCGCTCATTTTACCCAGTCCTGGAGAAAATACAACTTACATCAGCTGTACGTAATAAAAAGCATTTATTATCCATCCGTCACTATTTACACTACGAGGGCTACACAGGTATCAGATCGTCCGTCGTTTTCTCCTGAATGGCTTAAACCGAACATTGTCTACTTTATCCAGCGGGACGCTGTCGTCGTGCACACTGTCCACGTTAACACCAGGGCCCTTCATGTAGAAGATCGACGGCGTCGACAACAACTGGGTCGATGTCTCAATCTCGGGGGGCGTTTCTTTGGTTGCCATAGCAATGATGACGCCTAGTGGAATGAGCAAACCTAGACCCCCAGCCAAGATGTGTATGACCTTTTTGTTGTTGACCGTAGGGAACCCGTTCCGGAGAGGTCGAGGGTCCTGCAGCGGGGGTCGGAGAAGTCGCAGTTGTGGGAGGGAGCCGGGGGGACGTCGCACCTGCTGCACAACACAGAGAGACGCAATGTAACCCCTGATTTAGCGGGAGATCTGACTGATATCATTAAGTTATACGGCGAGTGAGTGAGTGAGTGAGTGAGTTTAATGCCGGGTTAGACACAATGTCAGTCAACTCCCACTGTGCCATTCAGATGTCCGAGGACAGTCGGAAGTATACTTTCGTGAAACCAAGAAGTACAGGCTTCGAACCCACCGTCATACACTAACAACACGACTTAAGTGCGAAGAGTGCGCAGCGAATTTCGGCGCCTAAGGCACTTCCAGTAACAGAACTCACTCTTACTTCTATATCCAAACACCTGCTTCAGTCTTACTTCTATATCCAAGCACCTGCTGCAACTTACCTGGAGGAGGTTCTCGGCCGCATCAGTCGACGTCCTGGGTATCTGCAGCTCCACCGTTCTCCATGTCGGTGGGTGACGACTTCGGGAACGACCTGATGAATATCGGGAATGTCTTGCCCTTCGTCCATTCTCATTGGCTATGAGGGATTGATAGGCACATCTGATTGGCTGAGCTGGTATAGGGCTATTGTTTTCATGAATTACCTGACCAATCACCTCTGAGTATGGTGGAGGGGGTGATCGACTGCGCAACTCTACAGGCCGGTATGGCGGAAGCGGAAGTGGGACAGGGGTTCGGATAGCTTCTGCATAAGATGGCGGCTGGACGATGTCATTTCTGATGTCGGGTTCCACCTCGGTCGAGTCCATGTCAGTGTGGGGGAATTGGAAGACACATATTTCTCAGTTCATCTGCAGCAAGACACATGTAGAAATGACAACATATTGTGTAGTGCACGTCATACGCTCATCTCAACAATATTAACAAGTTACGAAAATGTCATATTTCCTCCAAAAATTATAAGCGCTGTTATTTTTCAAACCTTAAAAAAATCATACATTTTCAGAAATTTGCGAGACGTAGTAGCCTTGTGGTTAAAGCGATCCTTGATGTGGTTCGATCCTGATGTTTCCCAAGTGTTTTCCCAAGTAATATTGTCGGAACATGTCTGGCGTCAAACCTAATAAAACTCATTCAATCACTCTTTTCGGGCACTCTAAGCACGTTTGAATCATTCATGTTCTCCAATCAGATGTCTTCGTTTGCCTGTATAACCCTCTCACCTCAAATACCTGTATAACCCTCTCACCTCATATACCTGTATAACCCTCTCACCTCATATACCTGTATAACCCTCTCACCTCATATACCTGTATAACCCTCTCACCTCATATACCTGTATAACCCTCTCACCTCATATACCTGTATAACCCTCTCGACTCATATACCTGTATATATCTGTTGAGTTAATTTACCTGTATATCTTAGCTGTTCATATACCTGTATATATCTGTTGAGTTAATTTACCTGTATATCTGCTGTTGTCATTTACCTGTATATCTGCTGTTGTCATTCACCTGTATATAACTGTTGTCCTCATTCACCTGTATATCTGCTGTTGTCATTCACCCGTATATAACTGTTGTCCTCATTCACCTGTATATCTGCTGTTGTCATTTACCTGTATATCTGCTGTCGTCACTCAACTGTATATCTGCTGTTGTCATTAACCTGTATATACATGTTGTCGTCATTTATCTGTATATCTGCTGTTGTCGTTTACCTTTATATAACTGCTGTTGTCGTTTACCTGTATATCTGCTGTTGTCGTTTACCTGTATATCTGCTGTTGTCATTCACCTGTATATAACTGTTGTTGTCATTTATCTGTATATCTGCTGTTGTCATTTACCTGTATATCTGCTGTTGTCATTCACCTGTATATAATTGTTACCCTTTTCACCTGTATATCTGCTGTTGTCATTTACCTGTATATCTGCTGTTGTAATTTACCCGTATATAACTGTTGCCCTCATTCACCTGTATATCTGCTGTTGTCATTTACCCGTATATAACTGTTGCCCTCATTCACCTGTATATCTGCTGTTGTCATTTACCTGTATATCTGCTGTTGTCATTTACCTGTATATCTGCTGTTGTCATTCACCTGTATATATATATCTGCTGTTGTCATTCATCTGTGTATAACTGTTGCCCCCATTCACCTGTATATCTGCTGTTGTCATTTACCTGTATATCTGCTGTCGTCATTCACCTGTATATATGCTGTTGTCATTTACCCGTATATAACTGTTGTCCTCATCTACCTGTATATAACTGTTGTCGTCACTCACCTGTATATCTGATGTTGTCATTCACCCGTATATAACTGTTGTCCTCATTTACCTGTATATCTGCTGTTGTCATTTACCTGTATATCTGCTGTTGTCATTTACCTGTATATCTGCTGTTGTCATTCACCTGTATATCTGCTGTTGTATATCTGCTGTTGTAATTTACCCGTATATAACTGCACCTGTCATTCACCTGCTGTTGTCATTTACCTGTATATCTGCTGTTGTCATTCACCTGTATATAACTGCTGTTGTCATTTACCTGTATATAACTGTTGTCCTCATATACTGCTGTCATACCTGTATATCTGTTGTCGTCATTCACCTGTATATCTGATGTTGTCATTTACCTGTATATACATGTTGTCGTCATTTACCTGTATATCTGCTGTTGTCATTTACCTGTATATCTGCTGTTGTCATTCACCTGTATATAACTGTTGTCGTCACTCACCTGTATATCTGCTGTTGTCATTCACCCGTATATAACTGTTGTCCACAGCCGTGTTGCGATACAGAAAGAATAAGTAGTGACTTCTACTACAGACGTCTACTACAGGTGGGCCAGCGGTACAGATGACAACAGACGTCTACTACAGGTGGGCCAGTGTTACAAATGACAACAGATGTCTACTACAGGTGGGCCAGTGTTACAAATGACAACAGATGTCTACTACAGGTGGGCCAGTGTTACAAATGACAACATACCTCTACTACAGGTATGTTACGCATGACAACAGATGTCTACTAAGGTGGGCCAGTGTTACAAATGACAACATACTACTACAGGTGGGCCAGTGTTACAAATGACAACCTACCTCTACTACAGGTATGTTACGCATGACATGACAGATGTCTACTACAGGTGGGCCAGTGTTACAAATGACAACATACCTCTACTACGGTATGTTACACATGACAACAGAGCTACTACTACAGGTGAGTCACTGTTTCAGATGACAACAGACCAAACTACAGTTGGGGCATTGATGCAGATGACAACAGGTCTCTACTACAGGTGAGTCACTGTTACAGATGTCAACAATGGTTAACTCACACAGAGGTAGCGCGACACTAGCGGGATGCCGACGCCCTCTACCCCCTTCCCTGTTCCCCAATCTCCCCCTCCTTTTCACATGCACACACAGAACGTCACAACCCCTAATCACACTAGAACATATGTGCCATTGTACAACAAAACCATGACGTAGATGCTAGTCCACTGAGAGGGCCCACTGGACGATAGTACGTTACTGCATCTGCACCCATCTCCATTTGACTTACCTGTACAGGAAGCAGCCATTCTATTGACTGAATACTGCTCCCCCACCCCTTTCTTCCCCAGATATTACCCCGTAGACGCCAATCAATAATGCATCATTGCTGTATTAGTCACCTTCAGTTGCGAAACTTCTGCTGACAGATAGGACATGTTCTGTGTCTAGTCGAGGATCGCCTTAAGCTGCGTTACCATAGCAAACAAAGGCATATCCACACTACTTTGGACTGGTCAGGGTAGCCTGCCCCGAGTACTGTGTCATCCCTTGACCACGGGAGACCCCCAAAGAGAGAGGTCTGTTAGAAGGAGGGGCATCAATAAGCCCGTGTCGGCAGTCCCCCATTCATCTGTCATAGTCTATCCCACGGTTCCAACCAAAACACCCCCTCCCAATACAAAATGGCCTCGCCCTAAGAGGGATGTTAATGGTGGCCCGTCTGTGATAAACATGGGTACATTTGGAAAGGCACAAAACAGCTACCAACCCTAGCCAGCAGTATTAAAACCTGCGTCTCGTCGATCCACCATTTTCACAGCTGTGATATCTCCAGTCCGCCGTGATGTGCTTTACACCGCGTCATCATCCTCACAGCAACACTACGACGACAATGGCACTCAGCCTGCCACAGCAAAATGGGATAGGTCTGTTAGAGGGGTGAAAGGTAGAGATCGATACGACAGATCAGTGATGCCCGTGCCTTCTCTCGCCGAGTTCTGGTCAACAGCCGCTTCATCGATCTGACAGCACGGTCCTGGCCACCGCTGGAGATGTCCCGCCCGCCATCATGTCCAGTACCATCTATTGCACTTAACTAAACACAACATGGCGGAACGATTATTCCACGAGTCATGTTATATACATGTATCATCAGTTATCGTCTAAATGGTGTGGGTGTCGCCGATTTTTACTACAAAGACGTCGTCGTCGGCTACAGCACAGAAAATAAGTCAGTAGGTCAGCAGTACGACTGGGGATGTTTATTTGACTCAGTCTTCCCTGACAGTGGTATACATAGGTTATACAACATGTCGTTACAACAGCTTCAGAGGTGGTGGTTTAATACAACATTAGCTACAGTAACCCTTCGTCACCATTAGCCTTAGTACATCTCTGATTGTGGTATGTAGGATATATACATCACCATTAGCCTTAGTACATCTCTAATTGTGGTATGTAGGATTTATACATCACCATTAGCCTTAGTACATCTCTAATTGTGGTATGTAGGATTTATACATCACCATTAGCCTTAGTACATCTCTGATTGTGGTATGTAGGATATATACATCACCATTAGCCTTAGTACATCTCTTATTGTGGTATGTAGGATATATACATCATCATTAGCCTTAGTACATCTCTAATTGTGGTATGTAGGATTTATACATCACCATTAGCCTTAGTACATCTCTAATTGTGGTATGTAGGATATATACATCATCATTAGCCTTAGTACATCTCTGATTGTGGTATGTAGGATATATACATCACCATTAGCCTTAGTACATCTCTTATTGTGGTATGTAGGATTTGTACATCACCATTAGCCTTAGTACATCTCTAATTGTGGTATGTAGGATATATACATCACCATTAGCCTTAGTACATCTCTAATTGTGGTATGTAGGATATATACATCATCATTAGCCTTAGTACATCTCTTTATTGTGGTATGTAGGATATATACATCATTAGCCTTAGTACATCTCTAATTGTGGTATGTAGGATATATACATCATCATTAGCCTTAGTACATCTCTAATTGTGGTATGTAGGATTTATACATCACCATTAGCCTTAGTACATCTCTAATTGTGGTATGTAGGATTTATACATCACCATTGGTAGTACATCTCTTAGTACATCTCTCTAATTGTGGTATGTAGGATTTATGCATCACCATTGGCCTTAGTACATCTCTAATTGTGGTATGTAGGATTTATACATCATCATTAGCCTTAGTACATCTCTAATTGTGGCATGTAGGATTTATACATCACCATTAGTATTAGTACATCTCTAATTGTGGCATGTAGGATATATACATCACCATTAGCCTTAGTACATCTCTAATTGTGGTATGTAGGATATATACATCATCATTAGCCTTAGTACATCTCTAATTGTGGTATGTAGGATTTATACATCACCATTAGCCTTAGTACATCTCTAATTGTGGTATGTAGGATATATACATCACCATTAGCCTTAGTACATCTCTAATTGTGGTATGTAGGATATATACATCATCATTAGCCTTAGTACATCTCTAATTGTGGTATGTAGGATTTATACATCATCATTAGCCTTAGTACATCTCTAATTGTGGTATGTAGGATATATACATCACCATTAGCCTTAGTACATCTCTAATTGTGGTATGTAGGATTTATACATCATCATTAGCCTTAGTACATCTCTAATTGTGGTATGTAGGATATATACATCACCATTAGCCTTAGTACATCTCTAATTGTGGTATGTAGGATTTATACATCACCATTAGCCTTAGTACATCTCTAATTGTGGTATGTAGGATATATACATCACCATTAGCCTTAGTACATCTCTAATTGTGGTATGTAGGATTTATACATCACCATTAGCCTTAGTACATCTCTAATTGTGGTATGTAGGATATATACATCACCATTAGCCTTAGTACATCTCTAATTGTGGTATGTAGGATTTATACATCACCATTAGCCTTAGTACATCTCTAATTGTGGTATGTAGGATTTATACATCACCATTAGCCTTAGTACATCTCTAATTGTGGTATGTAGGATTTATACATCACCATTAGCCTTAGTACATCTCTAATTGTGGTATGTAGGATTTATACATCACCATTAGCCTTAGTACATCTCTAATTGTGGTATGTAGGATTTATACATCACCATTAGCCTTAGTACATCTCTAATTGTGGTATGTAGGATTTATACATCACCATTAGCCTTAGTACATCTCTAATTGTGGTATGTAGGATTTATACATCACCATTAGCCTTAGTACATCTCTAATTGTGGTATGTAGGATTTATACATCACCATTAGCCTTAGTACATCTCTAATTGTGGTATGTAGGATATATACATCATCATTAGCCTTAGTACATCTCTAATTGTGGTATGTAGGATATATACATCACCATTAGCCTTAGTACATCTCTAATTGTGGTATGTAGGATATATACATCACCATTAGCCTTAGTACATCTCTAATTGTGGTATGTAGGATATATACATCACCATTAGCCTTAGTACATCTCTAATTGTGGTATGTAGGATATATACATCACCATTAGCCTTAGTACATCTCTAATTGTGGTATGTAGGATATATACATCACCATTAGCCTTAGTACATCTCTAATTGTGGTATGTAGGATTTATACATCACCATTAGCCTTAGTACATCTCTAATTGTGGTATGTAGGATTTATACATCACCATTAGCCTTAGTACATCTCTAATTGTGGTATGTAGGATTTATACATCATCATTAGCCTTAGTACATCTCTAATTGTGGTATGTAGGATTTATACATCACCATTAGCCCTAGAACATCTTCTCTAATTGTCGTATGTAGCATTTATACATCACCATAAGCCTTAGTACATCTCTGATTGTGGTATGTAGGATTTATACATCACCATTAGCCTTAGTACATCTCTAATTGTGGCATGTAGGATTTATACATCACCATTAGCCTTAGTACATCTCTAATTGTGGTATGTAGGATTTATACATCACCATTAGCCTTAGTACATATCTAATTGTGGTATGTAGGATTTATACATCACCATTAGCCTTAGTACATCTCTAATTGTGGTATGTAGGATTTATACATCACCATTAGCCTTAGTACATCTCTAATTGTGGTATGTAGGATTTATACATCACCATTAGCCTTAGTACATCTCTAATTGTGGTATGTAGGATTTATACATCACCATTAGCCTTAGTACATCTCTTATTGTGGTATGTAGGATTTATACATCACCATTAGCCTTAGTACATCTCTAATTGTGGTATGTAGGATTTATACATCACCATTAGCCTTAGTACATCTCTGATTGTGGTATGTAGCATTTATACATCACCATTAGCCTTAGTACATCTCTAATTGTGGTATGTAGGATTCATACATCACAATCTCAGTACATTTTCCTTGGTTGTGATTAACACGATTTATGACTGTTACCCCACAAAACCGTCCCTGATCAGGTTATATGGTTTATGGACGTGCATATGCTTTCTGTTCGTGGTGTATATGGTATCATATGAGCTGCAGTACACTGCTCCTGTGGTGGTATATATGGCTGTTACACTACCATAGTACACAGCACCTGTCGTGGTATATATGGCCGTTACACCGCCTTGTCGTGGTCGTATATATGGCCGTTACACCGCCCTAGTACACCGCTCCTGTCGTGGTATATATGGCTGTTACACTGCCCTAGTACACCGCTCCTGTCGTGGTATATATGGCTGTTACACTGCCCTAGTACACCGCTCCTGTCGTGGTATATATGGCTGTTACACTGCCCTAGTACACCGCACCTGTCGTGGTATATATGGCTGTAACATCGCTCCTGTCGTTTTTTATATGTGGCTGTAACACCGCCCTAATTACACCGCTCCTGTGGTGGTATATATTGCTGTTACACCGCCCCTAGTACACCGCTCCTGTCGTGGTATATATGGCTGTTACACTGCCCTAGTACACCGCTCCTGTCGTGGTATATATGGCTGTTACACTGCCCTAGTACACCGCTCCTGTCGTGGTATATATGGCTGTTACACCGCCCTAGTACACCGCTCCTGTCGTGGTATATATGGCTGTTACACTGCCCTAGTACACCGCTCCTGTCGTGGTATATATGGCTGTTACACCGCCCTAGTACACCGCTCCTGTCGTGGTATATATGGCTGTTACACCGCCCGCCCTAGTACACCACTCCTGTCACTGCCCTAGTACCGCTCCTGTCGTGGTATATATGCCCTGGTACACCGCTCCTGTCGTGGTTTATATGGCTGTTACTAACCGCCCTAGTACACCGCTCCTGTCGTGGTTTATATGGCTGTTACACTGCCCTAGTACACCGCTCCTGTCGTGGTATATATGGCTGTAACACTGCCCTAGTACACCGCTCCTGTCGTGGTATATATGGCTGTTACACCGCCCTAGTACACCGCTCCTGTCGTGTTTTATATGGCTGTTACACCGCCCTAAGTACACCGCTCCTGTCGTGGTATATATGGCTGTAACACTGCCCTAGTACACCGCTCTGTCGTGGTATATATGGCTGTAACACTGCCCCTGGTACACCGCTCCTGTCGTGGGTTTATATGGCTGTTACACCGCCCTAGTACACCGCTCCTGCCGTGGTATATATGGCTGCTACACTGCCCTGGTACACCGCTCCTGCCGTGGTATATATGGCTGTTACACTGCCCTAGTACACCGGCTCCTGTCGTGGGTATATATGGCTGTTACACTGCCCTGGTACACCGCTTCTGTCGTGGTATATATGGCTGTTACACTGCCCCAGTACACCGCTCCTGTCGTGGTATATATGAAACGTTACACTGCCCTGAAGTACACCGCTCCTGTCGTGGTATATATGGTCATGTTACACTGCCCTAGTACACCGCTCCTGTCGTGGTTTATATGGAAACATTTACACCGCCCCAGTACACCGCTCCTGTCGTGGTATATATGGCCGTAACACTGCCCTAGTACACCGCTCCTGTCGTGGTATATATGGTGTAACACTGCCCTAGTACAACCGCCCTGTCGTGGTTTATATGGCTGTTACACCGCCCTAGTACACCGCTCCTTTCGCCGTAGGTATATATGTGTTGTTATCGCCCCTAAGTACACCGCTCCTGTCGTGGTATGTTGGCTGTTACACTGCCCCAGTACACCGCTCCTGTCGTGGTATATATGGCTGTTACACCGCCCTAGTACACCGCTCCTGTCGTGGTATATATGGCTGTTACACTGCTCTAGTACACCGCTCCTGTCGTGGTATATATGGCTGTTACACTGCCCTAGTACACCGCTCTTGTCGTGGTATATATGGCTGTTACACTGCTCTAGCACACCGCTCCTGTCGTGGTATATATGGCTGTTACACTGCCCTAGTACACAGCTCCTGTCGTGCTATATGGAGAATACTACATGAGGTCTCATTACATACGAATTATACAGAAACGAGTGTCGTTCCCTATGGTATCTGACCGAGCAGATATTACCCACGTCTTACATGCATTAAATTGACAAAATAGCGTATTTTGATATTTTTTATGGTTTCAAACCGAAACCGGTTTCATAAAGAGGTTGCGGAAGAGTTTTGTACTGTGGTGCAATATTTGCATGACGTCACACTGTAATGACCTTTGGTAACCTTGGTAACCGACGTCACGATGCATGTCAGTTGTCATCGCCTCGTACAGCCTCCTACAGTAAACTACACCGTTCTTGTCGTGGTATATATGGCTGTTACACTGCTCTAGTACAGCGCTCTTGTCGTGGTATATATTGCTGTTACACTGCCCTAGTACACCGATCCTGTCGTGGTATATATGGCTGTTACACTGCCCTAAGTACACCGCTCCTGTCGTGGTATATATGGCTGTTACACTGCCCCTGGTACACCGCTCCCGTCGTGGTATATATGGCTGTTACACTGCCCTACTACAGCTCCTGTCGTGGTATATATGGATGTTACACCTGCTCCTACTATATACCGCTCCTGCCGTGGTACATATGCCGGCTGTATGGCTTTACACCGCTCCTGTCGTGGTATATATGGCCGTTACACCGCTCCTGCCGTGGTATATATGGCCGTTATATTGCATATCAGTACACAGTAACACATAACACAGGTTCACCACGCAGTCAACATCGCGTTGGTGGACAACAGTAAACAACACTGTGTCTTGGAATGCGTATTGCAAATCAATATTGAATCTATAAACCACTTGCAAAAACACAAGATGTAAAATAGTGTAGAGATTTAAAAAGTAATGGAAGAATACACAATTGTAATGCTGGTCCTGCCTGTGGCCTCTCTGTGACCGGTCATCTGTCATGTGGAAGCGCTATCACAGGCACGCCCTGTCATTTTCCAGACTCAGGGCAGCTCCACGCACTGTCATATGTATCAGGTAAATAAGGGCCGTTGGGGAACGATTTGACATTCGGCCTCGTCACAAACAATCACTACCCGTTTCCCATTTCAGCCGCATGTTACGATTCGGGAGTCAACGATCCTGGAGGACAATATAGGGGGTGGGTGGGGGATGGAGTTGGGGATGGAGTAGGGGGCGGTGGGCAGAGCGAAAGACCAGTATCTGGAAAACATTGAATTGCTTTGTTTCTGTGCTCCGATATCTCTGTTAGCAAGGGTAAGAAAAACCTGGATAATCCTCGCTGACTAAACACAAAAATTGACGCCAGTTCTGACACAGTAAGGTCACTCGAGAATAGTAGGAAGACTGTAGGACCCTGCAGTTATTCGCACGTGACCGTGCACCGGTGTGTATGCGGTGCAAGCAATGGAAGTACATTCCTTCCCCAAGACGCCGCCAGGAGGAACATGTGCGCCACTGTTGGATGACACATGGCTTGCTGGAACATGTGCACCACTGTTGGATGACACTTGGCTTGCTGGAACATGTGCGCCACTGTTGGATGACACTTGGCTTGATGGAACATGTGCACCACTGTTGGATAACACTTGGCTTGCTGGAACATGTGCGCCACTGTTGGATGACACTTGGCTTGCTGGAACATGTGCGCCACTGTTGGATGACTTACTTGGCTTGCTGGAACATATTGCGCCAACTGTTGGACGACGCTTTGGCTTGCACGGAACATGTTGCGCCACTGTTGGACGACACTTGGCTTGCTGGAACATGGTGCGCCACTGTTGGATGACATTAACTTGGCTTGCTGGAACACGTGCCACTGTTGGATGACAGCTGGTTTGCTGGAACATGTGTGCGCCACTGTTGGACGCTTGGCGGACATCAGGAGACGTGCTCTGGGAAGTGACTGCGATAAAGCCCGCACATGAACATACGGGTTCCGGCCAGAACATTTGTTGATCACAAAGAACATCTGGTGTAACACCAAGAATATCTGCGAATCTTCTTGGTTGCTGGAAGACTTTTAGCTGTCAGAGTAGATCCAAAACAGCTGATCTTTCTAAGACTATATACGGAACAACAGATGGCTAGGCTCCTGTCTCTTCATATCACAAGTTGCCGATGTGCGGTTAGAACCGGAAACCAGGAGTGAAATATTGGATAGAGGTGGACGGATATCCGGTGGTCTGTTGATGTGCACGAGAGTTCATCAGCGCCTGACTACGTTCACTAACAAAGTGATTGTTTCGGGTTGATGGCAAGGTCGAATATCAAGAATACCGCAAGATTCAAGGTAAGGTCGAATACCAAGAACATCCTGAAGATTCAAGGTTAAGGTAGAATATCAAAGGATACCGCACTAACGTCTCTCGGCTTTTCCAGCCAGTCCTACGAACACCAACGGTAGCAAGGTCAAGGTCACTATGTTGTGTACTACAGAGGTCAAGGTCGTGTCGTTGTCCTCCACTCGGTATCATCAAGCCGATTTGTCGTTAGAAGGGCCCTGAAACGATGCTGACAACAGAAACCCGCCAACACCATCACCACCGTCAGCAACGCTCCCACGATCAGCAGCCTCGTCATGGCCCGGGATGGGGGTTGACCGGGTCCAGGGTGATGTCTTCGGCGGTTATTGTTCTGTCGACATCAACAGAAAGACTCCATTAAACGCTGCATGTGTAAGGAGGATAACCTATAACGGAACAGTATCATTATGTCTGCTGTGACAGGGAAACAAACCATCCAGCGCCAACTTTAACGTTTGGTGGTGAAGTCTGGGTTCAACCAAAGGACACATCGAATGTTTAGACTGACAACTGTTACTCTAATATTGTTACTTATTGTAGAAAGACGTCGTCCAGTGCTTTAAATGTAGCACAAGCTGGCGTCGTCTCACCTCCACGACTGGTACCGCTAGTTTTTGGTTTGTTTTACGCCGCATTCAGCAATATTCCAGCTATATGGCGGCGGTCTGTAAATATTCCAGCAATATTGCGGCGGGGAACACCAGAACTGGATTTCACACATTATACCCATGTGGTGAATCGAACCTGGGTCTTTGGCGTGACAAGCGAACGTTTTAAACACTAGGCTACTCCGCCGCCCCGGTCTGTAAATAACCGAGTCTGGACCTGACAATCAAGTGATCAACAACGTGAGCATAAATCTACACAGTTGGGAAACGATGACATGTGTCAACCAAGTCAGCGAGCTGACCACCTGATCCCGTTTGTCGCCTCTTACGACAAGAATGGGTTACTGAAGATCAATTCTAACCCGGATCTTCATGGGTACCGCTAGTAAAGTTATCGGATGTCAGAGATCGAAATAGTAGTCGGGCTACTGGTATGAGAAAACTCCTGTTCTTGTCAGGATTCGGGATTGTTCGGACATACTTGTTAACACCCTAAAGTAGGCTCAAGCAGTTGTGGAGCATAAGCGTGGCATGATATGAATTTGTATAAAAATTGCTACTTAATCCTTTTTCATTTCTCAATGTTTTTTCCTATTTTGATGATTTTACTTTTTGTGTACAAGTTGTCCCCCTTAAAGTAAAATTAAAACATTGGCCAGAACCAGGCATCTCTACTTACGCGAGCTTGTTCAATGTCATCCGGGTATATCATCAACACGCCTTCTTGGCGATCGCTGAAATGAGGTGAGTTACGAATCTGCTGTGACGTCAATTCCAACGTCATCGGAACACGAGCAGCGTCTTCGATGGCAGTGGAGGGTGTATTGTGCATGCGCCTCGCATCTCCTGTAGACCTGTGGACTGCCTCCCTGGCTGGGGAGATCGCAGATGGAGTTATAGGAGAAGTAGGCGTGGCCGTGAAGCCATACACAGCTTCATCGTAAGACGGTGGTGGATCGAGGTAGGAAGGGCGATTGTGCTGGACAGAAGAATATGGCGGCACGGAGGATTCCATCACTGTCAAGGTCTCACACGGGGAACAGCGACCTGTCGGATCATGGCGAGACTGTCCACCACACTGAACCCTGAAACATTGGCATGTTGATATTATTATAGATGATGATTAAAATTACATCGGGGGACTTCCGTCCCACAGGCCATGGACCTTGTACATGTTGATATTATTATAGATGATGATTATAATGATAGATTGATTACATAATTACATCGAATGCTGGAACATAGTCTGCCTCACAGGCCATGGACCTTGATCCTTCCATGCATGAGGTACATATAATACAACATCTCTACGGTTGTATCACCATGCATGAGGTACATATAATACAACACCTCTACGGTTGTATCACCAGCATGAGGTACATATAATACCGTGCAAGACCTCCGGTTGTATCACCGTGCATGAGGTACGCTATAATACAACACCTCTACGGTTGTATCACCGTGCATGAGGTACATATAATACAACACCCTACTATTGTATCACCGTGCATGAGGTAATACAACAACCTCTACGGTTGTATCACCGTGCATGACGGTTGTGCATATAATACAACACCTCTACGGTTGCATCACCGTGCATGAGGTGCATATAATACATATAACACAACACTTCTACGGTTGTATCACCGTGCATGAGGTACATATAATACAACACCTCTCTACGGTTGCATCACCGTGCATGTACATGGTACATATAATACAACACCTCTCCGGTTGCATCACCGTGCATGAGGTACATATAATACAACACCTTTACGGTTGTATCACCGTGCATGAGGTACATATAATACAACACTTCTACGGTTGTATCACCGTGCATACGACAACACGTCTCTGACCCCGCAGTGCCACAGGGTTAAGGCGTTAGAAGACTTTTATTGACCACATCGCCATGGAGCCCAGACCGTCCAAGGAACTGGCTGATGGCGTGCGTTATTGCTCCAGCACACTGTGATGTAATCAAACTAAACCTGTTACCCCTGAAATTAATTTTAGACTAACCCAAACATCCCCAGCTGTAGCGCATTGACATAGCGCTGGGGGGCTGAAAGTGGTCCATCTCGGGGATGTAGTTGTGTTACCTCATCCCAGTGCCCCTTCCCCCCACAGATGCAACACTCACCCACGCAGCTTCAGCGTTACACCCGCTCACTGGCGACTTCAGCGGGTCAATGAAGGCTTCCTTGTGGGTCGTCAGCCATTATGACGGGCTCATCCACGCAACACTTGAGGGGTAGGGCTTTCTAGTTGTTAAATCAGTGGATGTCTGTTACGTATACTGGACGGTCTACGAGAAAGCTTTGTGGTGCAACTGTGGTCAAGTCTGAACTCAGAGTGCAAAGTATGGACTGGAACAATTTACGAGCCGTCGATAACAGCTCTTTGAAAGGAATTACGAAAACAAAAAAATCGAATATTTTAGAGAAAATATATCCAGATCCATTGAATGCATTGCTAATCGATAATACCTTCCCTTTTTATATTTTCTACTCAACACGGAAGTAGTTTCAAATAAAAAAACCCACCTGCAGTCAGTTAGTGCTTGGGGGAAGGAAGAACAAGTCACCAGCAATGGGATACAATGGCACTCGGCTGACAGACGTAGTTGTATTAGAGACCTGATAACTCACAGACGAGATTGTATGGGAGGTGCTAATAACTGACAGACGAGATTGTATGGGGGGAGCTAATAACTTACAGATGGAGATGTATGGGAGGAGCGTACAACTGACAGACGAGATTGTGTGGGAGGTGCTAATAACTTACAGATGGAGATGTATGAGAGGAGCTAATAACTTAGAGACGAGATTGATGTATGGGAGGAGCTAACAACTGACAGACGAGATTGTATGGGAGGTGCTAATAACTTACAGATGGAGATGTATGGGAGGTGCTAATAACTTACAGATGGAGATGTATGGGAGGAGCTAATAACTGACAGATGGAGATGTATGGGAGGTGCTAATAACTTACAGATGGAGATGTATGGGAGGTGCTAATAACTTACAGATGGAGATGTATGGGAGGTGCTAATAACTTACAGACGAGATTGTATGGGAGGTGCTAATAACTTACAGATGGAGATGTATTGGAGGAGCTTACAACTGACAGACGAGATTGTGTGGGAGGTGCTAATAACTTACAGACGAGATTGTATGGGAGGTGCTAATAACTTGACAGATGGAGATGTATGAGAGGAGCTAATAGCTTACAGACGAGATTGTATGGGAGGAGCTTAGAACACGATTGACAGAACGAGATTGTATGGGAGGTGCTAATAACTTAGTGACGAGATTGTATGGGAGGTGCTAATAACTGACAGATGAAGATGTATGAGAGGTGCTAATAACTTAGAGACGAGATTGTATGGGAGGAGCTTACAACTGACAGACGAGATTGTATGGGAGGTGCTAATAACTTACAGATGGAGATGTATGGGAGGAGCTAATAACTTACAGATGGAGATGTATGGGAGGTGCTAATAACTTACAGACGAGATTGTATGGGAGGTGCTAATAACTTACAGACCAGATTGTATGGGAGGTGCTAATAACTTACAGATGGAGATGTATGGGAGGAGCTAACAACTGACAGATGGAGATGTATGGGAGGAGCTAATAACTTACAGATGGAGATGTATGGGAGGTGCTAAGAACTTACAGACGAGATTGTGTGGGAGGTGCTAATAACTTACAGACGAGATTGTATGGGAGGTGCTAATAACTTACAGATGGAGTTGTGTGGGAGGAGCTAACAACTTACAGATGGAGATGTATGGGAGGAGCTAATAACTTACAGATGGAGTTGTATGGGAGAATCTAACAACTGACAGACGAGATTGCCTGGGGGGTGCTAATAACTTACAGACGGAGATGTATGGGAGGTGCTAATAACTGACAGATGGAGATGTATGGGGGCGGTAATAACTTACAGATGGAGATGTATGGGAGGAGCTAATAACTGACAGATGGATATGTATGGGAGGAGCTAATAACTTACAGATGGAGATGTATGGGAGGAGCTAATAACTGACAGACGAGATTGCGTGGGGGGTGCTAATAACTTACAGATGGAGATGTATGGGAGGAGCTTACAACTGACAGACGAGATTGCGTGGTGGGTGCTAATAACTTACAGATGGAGATGTATGGGAGGTGCTAATAACTGACAGATGGAGATATATGGGGGCGGTAATAACTTACAGATGGAGATGTATGGGAGGAGCTTACAACTGACAGACGAGATTGTGTGGGAGGTGCTAATAACTTACAGACGAGATTGTATGGGAGGTAGTAGTAACAGACAGATGGAGATGTATGAGAGGAGCTAATAACTTAGAGACGAGATTGTATGGGAGGAGCTTAGAACTGACAGACGAGATTGTATGGGAGGTGTCAATCAAAATAGTGACGAGATTGTATGGGAGGTGCTAATAACTGACAGATGAAGATGTATGAGAGGAGCTGATAACTTAGTGACGAGATTGTAAGGGAGGAGCTTACAGCTGACAGACGAGATTGTATGGGAGGTGCTAATAACTTACAGACGAGATTGTATGGGAGGTGCTAATAACTTACAGATGGAGATGTATGGGAGGAGCTTACAACTGACAGACGAGATTGTGTGGGAGGTGCTAATAACTTACAGACGAGATTGTATTGAAGGTGCTAATAACTGACAGATGGAGATGTGTGGGAGGTGCTAATAACTTACAGACGAGATGTATGGGAGGTGCTAATAACTGACAGATGGAGATGTGTGGGAGGTGCTAATAACTTACAGACGAGATTGTATGGGAGGTGCTAATAACTTACAGATGGAGATGTGTGGGAGGTGCTGATAACTTAGAGCCGAGATTGTATGGGAGGAGCTTATAACTTACAGATGGAGATGTGTGGGAGGTGCTGATAACTTAGAGCCGAGATTGTATGGGAGGTGCTAATAACTTACAGATGGAGATGTGTGGGAGGTGCTGATAACTTAGAGCCGAGATTGTATGGGAGGTGCTTATAACTTACAGATGGAGATATATGAGAGGAGCTAATAACTTACAGACGAGATTGTATAGGGGGAGCTAATAACTTACAGATGGAGATGTATGGGAGGAGCTTACAACTGACAGACGAGATTGTGTGGAAGGTGCTAATTACTTACAGACGAGATTGTATGGGAGGAGCTTACAACTGACGGACGAGATTGTATGGGAGGTGCTAATAACTTACAAATGGAGATGTATGGGAGTGTTAATAACTTACAGCTGGAGATGTATGGGAGGAGCTAATAACTTACAGATGGAGATGTATGGGAGGAGCTAATAACTTACAGATGGAGATGTATACTTACAGACGGAGATGTATGGGAGGAGCTAATAAATTACAGATGGAGATGAATGGGAGGAGATTATAACTGACAGACGACATTGCGTGGGTGCTAATAACTTACAGATGGCGATGTATGGGAGGAGCTTACAACTGACAGACGAGATTGTGTGGTGGGTGCTAATAACTTACAGACGGAGATGTATAGGAGGTGCTAATAACTGAAAGATTGAGATGTATGGGAGGAGCTAATAACTGACAGATGGATATGTATGGGAGGAGCTAATAACTTACAGATGGAGATGTATGGGAGGAGCTAATAACTGACAGATGGATATGTATGGGAGGAGCTAATAACTTACAGATGGAGATGTATGGGAGAATCTAACAACTGACAGACGAGATTGCGTGGGGGGTGCTAATAACTTACAGACGAGATTGTATAGGGGGAGCTAATAACTTACAGATGGAGATGTATGGGAGGAGCTTACAACTGACAGACGAGATTGTGTGGGAGGTGCTAATAACTTACAGACGAGATTGTATGGGAAGTGCTAATAACTGACAGATGAATATGTATGAGAGGAGCTAATAACTTAGAGACGAGATTGTATAGGAGGTGCTAAAAACTGACAGATGAAGATGTATGAGAGGAGCTAATACCTTAGAGACGAGATTGTATGGGAGGTGCTGATAACTGGCAGATGAAGATGTATGGGAGGAGCTAATAACTTAGAGACGAGATTGTATGGGAGGAGCTTACAACTGTCACACGAGATTGTATGGGAGGTTCTAATAACTTACAGACGAGATTGTATGGGAGGTGCCAATCAGATAGTGACAAGATTGTATGGGAGGTGCTAATAACTGACAGATGAAGATGTATAGGAGGTGCTAATAACTTACAGATTGAGATGTATGGGAGGAGCTTACAACTGACAGACGAGGTTGTGTGGGAGGTGCTAATAACTTACAGACGAGATTCTATGGGAGGTGCTAATAACTGACAGATGAATATGTATGAGAGGAGCTAATAACTTAGAGACGAGATTGTATAGGAGGTGCCAATCCGACAGTGACGAGATTGTATGGGAGGTGCTAAAAACTGACAGATGAAGATGTATGAGAGGAGCTAATAACTTAGAGACGAGATTGTATGGGAGGTGCTGATAACTGGCAGATGAAGATGTATGGGAGGAGCTAATAACTTAGAGACGAGATTGTATGGAGGAGCTTACAACTGACAGACGAGATTGTATGGGAGGTTCTAATAACTTAGAGACGAGATTGTATGGGAGGTGCCAATCAGATAGTGACAAGATTGTATGGGAGGTGCTAATAACTGACAGATGAAGATGTATAGGAGGTGCTAATAACTTACAGATGGAGATGTATGGGAGGAGAGTGCAACTGACAGACGACATTGCGTGGGAGGTGGTAATAACTTACAGACGAGATTGTATGGGAGGTGCTAATAACTTACAGATGGAGATGTATGGGAGGAGCTTACAACTGACAGACGAGATTGCGTGGAGGGTGCTAATAACTTTCAGACGGAGATGTATGGGGGGTGCTAATAACTGAGAGATCGAGATGTATGGGAGGTGCTAATAACTTACAGATGGAGATGTATGGGAGGTGCTGATAACTTGCAGACGAGATCGTATAGGGGGAGCTAATAACTTACAGATGGCGATGTATGGGAGGAGCTAATAACTGTCAGATGGAGATGTATGGGAGGTGCTAATAACGTGCAGATGGAGATGTATGGGAGGAGCTTACAACTGACACACGAGATTGTGTGGGAGGTGCTAATAACTTACAGACGAAATTGTATGGGAAGTGCTAATAACTTACAGATGGAGATGTGTGGGAGGAGCTAATAACTTAGAG